TCAGTAGACTTCAGCTTCTTATAAAGCATAAAATAATGAGTCTTGAAGTACTTCTTAGTGAGTATAACTCTCACTCGGTCTCTTTCCTTCCCTTCCGACTGTGTCCTTCCTCAGTGTTGGCAGTTCTGTTATTTTACTAAGCAGGACGGTGTACCCCTTCAAATAACGTCACCAAGAACATATAAAATAAAAGTGTAGCACGTCTTAAAATAGCTAATCCTATGCGTGGTGGCGTGTCTCGGCCTTGTGCAGTTATGTACACGTGTTCAAGTGTATGCGGGTGTGCTAGAACACGTTCACATGTGTTTGTGTATGTTTGTCCACATTTACATGTGTCCTGTGTTCACACGAAAGTGTTATTTTTTGGTATGTGAGCACCACCTATTGGTCTCTTATGTACTTGGATTTTTTTCTTAAAATCTAATTTTAAAAAAACCTAATAATAATAATCTTTCTAGTTTTTCCCCTAGAGTTAGTCTAGTGTTTATTTAAAAGTTGGAGATTTTATACTGTGTCACACTCTACTCCATCCGGAGTCCCAGAGTACTGTGGTAAAAGTACCAAGAAGAAGGTCTTTAGAATATGTTTCTCATGAGATTGTTGTGGCTGTCTTAATGAAGTAGAAACAAAGCTGTACTTTGTTCTCAGTAAGTTTTTCCAATGGAATTACACTCGCAGAAATCGAGCCATCATTCATTAAAATCAATCTTTTTTCTTGTGAGGGAGGGGATTTATTCTGTAGGCAGAGATGACCGAAGTCTCCGATCTTCTTGCCTCTGCCTCCCAAGCGCTGGGATTGGAGGAGCATTCACCACCGTGCCCAGCTCAGGAAATTTACTTGTAATGAAACTTACCAAAAGCAATCAGTACATAAATAATCAGACATTAAGTGACAGCAGCCTTGATTGTGACCGGGCATGATGGCAGAGTCCTTGGTGTGTGCTCTGAACTCTGGGCCATGAAGCTCCATGTTCTAAAAGTGGTTTGCATCTGACCCTTGGGCAGTGTGTTCTGGTTCCCTTAGGCTTGAGCCTTCACTCTGCGGTAGGACACACTTTGAACATCGATGTGGGTTTTCTACAGACGATGGGTGGTTCTGGAGACACAAGGACTGCCTGGAAGCAGTTCGGCTTGCTTTATTTTGAACACCATCAATGATATTAATTACTGCAGTTTACTTCCTGTCATCCTTATCCTAAGTTAAGTGGACATCAACATCCGTTTAAAGGAAGGATTGAACCCAGTTGTAACAGCAATGAGGGTATTTGGCTATCTGCAAGTCTGGCCGCCTGATCTTTTAAAGTCTCAGTGCAGGCCTTATATGGTACCAAGTACACTGCTTACACTGACTCATTCCGGCCCTCAGCAATGCTTTTTATAGACATGCACACTAATTAGTTAACTAACTGGGACATAGTGCTCATCCGGGGTTTTTGATTTGACATATAATTTTTAATCATACTTTTCTGTAAATTGTCCCAAGATTTCTAATAATTCCTCATGTCAGCTACTCTCCCTATTACTTTAAAGGCCAGCAAATATAAATGATTAGAATTATATGAAATAATAGTTTACAAGGTTTAAGTTCTACCATAAGCTAGCTTTCTTTCTTTCTTTCTTTCTTTCTTTCTTTCTTTTTTTTTTTGTTTGTTTCTTTGTCTTTTTTTTTCCCTGTCTAGCCAGGTGTTTTTATTTTTAGTGGAAAAGAATGCATTGTCCTATTACCAGCATGATTCTAGGAAAGTGAAAGCATATCTAGGCATGAATGTTTTCTTTTGTGGTATTCAGATATTTAACCACATTGTGGTAGTTAAAGTATTACTTCAGAAGTTTACTTTTCAATAGTTTAGGACTCTTTTCAAGACCCTTGTCTTAGGTAATTTTCTGTCAGTGTGATAAAAACACCACGACCCAGGAAACTTTCAGAAGGAAAGGGTTTGGGGCATGCACGTGGTTCCAGAAGGATGAGAGTCCATGGCAAGGAAGCAGTAGACATGGTGGCTGGAGCTGCAGTGAGTGACAGCTGACAGCTCACATCACCACAGACAGGAAAGAAGGGGTGAACTGCTTCTGAAATCTCAGAGCCCCACTCAGAGACATACTTCTTCCAACAAGGGACACCCCTAAACCTACCCAAATAATGCCACAGGCTGGGGACCAGGTACATCTGAGCCCATGGAAACATTCTCATTGAAATCACAGTCCTGTGATTATGCCTGCGATTATTAATGGGGCACAGGCAGGAACTGTTTCGAAGTGTTTTAGTGTCTTACTGACCTACTTTATTAAAACTTCAGTTCAGTATCTTACGTTCATTTAAAGCTCACAGAAAATAACTTGATGGTCCCAAAGATCTTAAGCGCATTTACTGAATAAATATTGAACTTTAGCTAGCTCACAATACAATGAACTTAAAAGATGGATTTGAGAAAAGATCAATGGGGAAATTGATTGATCTCTATGCTTAAACCTAAAACCTCTGATGCCTGAATAATCTAACTGGAAAAGTCCCTTGCCTGCCAGCAATGCCCAAGTAAGGACAGGGTTCTTTTTCTAAAGGGGAAGAAAACTAAAATACCAGAGTGGAACAGAGAGGCTTTCTAAGCCGAACCACATCTTCCTGCATGGGATTGGATATTGGAAGTGTTTGCTTTTAGCTTTTGTTTTTGTTTTTTTAAAGAAATGCTGGGTTTTTTTTGGTTTTGGGGTTTTTTTTTTTTTTTGGTTTTTTTTTTTTTTTTTTTTTTTTTTTTGAAATACATGATTAGCTAAGGTCACTTTGGCTATCTTCCAGCTTGTGGAGAGACTCCAGAACAAATCCGAGCACCTAGTGGAATAATCACCAGTCCAGGCTGGCCTTCTGAATATCCTGCCAAAATCAACTGTAGCTGGCTCATACGGGCAAACCCAGGGGAAATCATTACTATAAGGTAATTCTGATACCTTTCATATTGTTAATCTTTTATTTAGAAATATAAGTGCAGTTTCTAAATAGCATTGCCATGGGTACGGCAGTATGAAAATATCTTGCAGAACATAGAATAAATGATAGTTATGAGTGTCATTTAAAAAGTAGGCAGTGATCTAACAACATGTGTCTTTGGTATTTTCTGTTGCCGACAGCCTCCAGTGCTGAGCTGAAAGTCCTCTAGCCTCATCCTCCAGAGTGCTGGATTTCCCCTCCGAATCCAGGATAAACACGTCATGTAAACTACAATCCACTACACCCAGTTATCCTAACTACTTCTTAACAAAAGTGTAATTTGCTGAATAGCTTATTAGGTTCAAGAGTGATCTTTAGCAGCGAATAGACAAACAAAACCACCAACCAGCTCAAAGATCCATGCCATCCCCTTAGCCTCGTTCATTGGTACCTCTTCTTTTAAAGAAGTTAAAATACGATTCTGGGTAGACATGGGTGTGCTTATAAAACCGTAAACATGCTACTAAGCATATTTTAAATTTTGTTCTTGCTTTCTTCGACGTGTGATTTCATGTGTGGGGGGGTGTTCACCAACGTTTGCACACGTGGAGGCCAGAGGCTATGTTGGGTGTATTCCTCCATTACTTTGCACCTTTTTCTTTTGAGAAGGGTCTCTCACTGAGCCTGGAGCTATCTTAGCTAGACTAGTAGCCAGTGAGCTTTGGGCATGAGCCTGTATCCCCTGGCCCCTCTAAGCACTAGTCTTACAGACATGTGCCACCATGCCACATGGGTTCTGGGAGCCCAACCAGGTCCTCATGTTTGCACAGGAAGAGCTTTGCTTACAGAGCCATCTCCTCAACCCCCCTTTTACAGTGTAGAAGCAAAGTGTCCCCTGCCGTGATCATATACAACCCATTCAGATATGCAGATGAGTCCATGATAGTAAAGGTTAAGTTGATTTAACTTTATTAATAATAAGTAAAATAGAAAGTATAGTGTTGTCCAGGGAGATGCTTTAAAATAGCTATCCGATTAAGGATAAAATGTACATTCAACTTTAAGGTGAAGTTAAAACCCTGACTAACATGAACTATATAGTAATATGGACATGTGCTGGGTTTGTTTGTTTAATATTTTAAGAGACCAATGTAAACCACTTCTTCATTCTTCTCCCTAGTCAAAGCCAAGATCTGGCTGTTTTGCTTAAGAAAACATGTGAAAAAGAAATTCTCCTAGCCATTGATTGCCTCCCAGAAAATATGAAATTCTCCTAGCCATCGGCGAATATGAATGGCATATTCATACCTGTTGACTCCATGGTGGAATCTGTAGTTGTGGGAAACACCGTTTAAGACTAGTTGTAAAATAGAAACCTGGACAGGGAACACCAGGAGATAAGGAGGAAGGGAGGGGGGTCCATCCGAAGTAAATCACACCCCAAACTCCAGACGGTATGAAAAGGTGCTAAGATAAATAGTTGATACAATCCACCTGTGATACAGTTTACTCAGACATTGCAATATTCTATTTGTGACGTCAGGGGTTTCTTTCTTAACCTTTTCTGTCCCCCTCAGTACTTGGCAGTCTGGTCAAACCGATGAGCTAATTCCCAGAATGTTTCTTGACACATTGCATTGCAAAGTATAATTGCATTAAAATATAGCTAAATATTTGAATATTTAGAATATAGTAGTATATGTTTATTGACATGTTGACTAAAACAAATCAAAGTTCTAATAACTTTCGATGTGAACAGTATTTTTAGACTTCTGACTTCTTGTAAGAAACAGAGGCTTGCACGTAGAGAGATCTCTGAAAGTGTTGTGCACCAGTAATGACACAAGTAGCCTGAGCTGGAGTTACTGAGAGGGTCTAAAGAAAAAATAGCCTGACATAATCCTTGCAGTTAACTTCCTTATCACTTGATTTAAAGCGGAGGCAGAGAGATAAAGCCAAATTTTCATTTGTTAGTGAGCCATGTTCAGATTTGGAAGCAAAATTGGATTTCTTATTTCTACTTAGCAAGCAATGGCTGCTTCTCCTGTTCTTGTTTGGCTTTTTGCCATTTACTTGTGCCCGTATTTTAGGAACTACATGATAATGTTTAACTATAAAGTGATTGAGATGAAAGGGTTTTCCAAACTCAAGGACCCTTCTCAGCAAATGTTACTCTTGTTTGTCCCTGCTCCTCTCTCCCTGTCCCCTCTCATTTCTCCCTCCCCTCTTCCCCTCCCCTTTTCTCTCTTTATTGCTCTGATTTAGCTGCAGCCAAGGAAGTGGGTGACCCAGTCTAACTGAATTGAAAGGGAAGTTTTTCTAGCCTACCTCCTCCGAGCTTGAACTTCTGGCTCAAGCAAGAACTGTGGGGTGACTGGAATTGGGAAGGGGTTTTCCTAAAGATATTAGCAACAGGAGCCTGTGCTGTCACCCGGTTCAGCGTGGTTCCGGAACCTTCAGGAACGATGCAGGCTTAGGGGCTGCACCTCTGCAGCTGGTTGCTGAGGATGCCGCCGCCTGCGGGGATACAAGAAGCAGGGCCTTGGGATCTTGTCTTCTTCCGCTGCATCTCATGTATATCCTCGGTTCTTGTCTTCGGTTTTGAAAGCCTCTTCCGACGTGCTCTTGTTTTAGTTTCCAGGACTTTGATATCCAGGGGTCCAGAAGGTGCACTTTGGACTGGCTGACGATAGAAACCTACAAGAACATTGAGAGTTACAGAGCTTGCGGGTCCACGGTGCCCCCTCCTTTCATCTCCTCACGGGACCATGTCTGGATCCGGTTCCATTCGGACGACAGCGTGTCCAGGAAAGGCTTCAGACTGGCGTACTTTTCAGGTGTGTTTTTGAAAAGAAAAATGCCGAACCACATTTTGTGGTGTTAAGTGCCCAGTCACTTTTAGTTCGTTTTCTGAACAGGGTCCCCTTAATCATGGCTCAGCCCTCGAGGCGGCCGAGGTTGAAGGTGAGGAGCTAAAGTCAGCTGCCTTAAAACTGAGTATCCAGTTTGATGTTCACATCACCGCAATGAAATGATTCATTGCATAAACCGAGGTCTGTCTTTTAAAACATCTTCAATACATTTGTTTTGAAAGTAGGATTGTCTCAAGGCTCTCATATCTCGAAGACTACATCAGAGTATAATTTTTAGAGTGGGCATTACCGTTTTCATTGCATCTTAAGCAAAAGACGGAACCCATTTCAACAGGTTTGCAGCCTCGGACTTTTTAATTTTCCTTTTCCTAGACCATTTCTAAACATGACCAAGTCATGCGCATGCGGGAAACTTAGAGCACTGGGCGGCGCCTTTTTCTTATCGCCACCACAGTCTGTACTAAGCTTGAAGTATGTCTGCCACCTCCTTACCCATAAGTAAGTTGTTAGTGGACAGGCAGCAACCAGCCAACTTGTCATTTCGGGGGCTGTAGGAATCTGCTAGGGTCTGGTTCGTCTGTGGTGCTCTTGTGGAATATTTGACACGGTAGACTGAAATAATTAGAATTCCCTAAACACTTTCCCCCTCTCCTTCATGAACAGTTCTACCCAGACTTTTGCCCTCAAGGAAGCAGCCATACCTGTTAACAGACACTTCCTAAAGTCATTCCGTGAACTCTGGAATTGTATTAAAAATAAAGCATAAAATGGAAGTAGTTCATCATGCTTACATGAGGCTGAAGCAACTTAAAGTTAAGATGACAGTTTACCGAAAGCAGATCTGACTACACTGCAACGCCCTGCCGCATGTGTGTGTGTGTGTGTGTGTGTACAGAGACTAGAAAATGGGAGAAGGTGAAAACATACTTGCAAAGTGTTCGCCTGCATGATTCTCCTTTCTTTAAACACGTCTCCTGTTTTAGTTATGCTTACGAGATGTTAACTTCCTTTGGCTCACCTGTCTTAAGTCATTTCGCTAAATGTTCTGCAACGAAAGAGCTATCTACAAAATAGCGCCGATGACGCTTTGGTGTCTTCAGGCAAAAGTTGCCAGGAGCTTTGC